GCAGTACTTTGCTAATGCAGTCTGACCTGCTCTCTTACTACCAGACCTTTAAGGTTGTTTGTTTTTTTTTTAATCTCAGATCTTTTGCTCACAGCTCAGTGCTGTGAGGTGTTTCGTGGCCTGCAGTGCACAGGGAGATACGGAAGAGGATCTGCAGGTCCTCCTGGACAAAAACACTGGGTGAGCTGGGTCCCTTCCCGATTGGTGTTCCCATATTCCTAAGAGCAGGTTCTGGTACATGCAGCTGCCACAGCTACACCAGAAGCTCTCTGTTTCTGCAAGTGGCAGTGGAAACGCTCTGACCCAGGGATGGGAAAAGGAAGCGCTTGCTGTTAGATGCTGCTTTAGGTAGAGATACAAGAGGGAGAATCGCTGACCCAAAGCAGGACAGGTCTACGATGTGGGTAGATCTAGATATCTTGATCTCAGATCAAAAAATAGTGATATGTATACATAAAAATACCCCATTACAGTTGAGACTGAAAAGTTTTAGCCCTAACAAGCTGAAAAGGTTGAGGAACTGGGAATTCAACTCTGATCCAGATTTCAAAACATGTTATTTTTGTCAAAGACAATTTCAATTTCCGATCCAAAATGTGCAGTTTGGGGGGGGAGGGGGCGTGTTGGTTTTTTGTTGTTGTTAGTTTTTTTACCTTGGACTTCCTCCAAAGTAGCATAAGGTAAACTCAAGAAGCCATCTCACATGAACATGGTGTCCACAGAGAGAGTATCGGTAGAAATATTTACTTGTATTTGCTCTCACCAAAGTAATTGTTCTGCACCAAGCCCCTTAAATCTTTGCAGTCTTTGCAGTCCTCAGAATCCCAATGCCTACAGGACTGCTAATAGCTCCCAAATTGTGGAGGAGTAGCAGATGCCATTTGTCCCTGCACTGAGGTTTCCCTGCTCCCATCACTGCTGGCCTCTCTCCATGAACCTAGCATGCACTTAGAATTCTACTTGCCTCCCAGTGCTGTGTCCTTTTCTTACCGGGAGAGAGGCTCACAGGTACTTAACAGCCCTTAACAAATACAGTTTTGGTCTGTTTTTCCAAGCTGGGCATGGTATCAGTTGCTAAGGAAGGTGATTTAAGCCACATTTTTCTTTTCAAAAGTAAAAGGTTTTGATTAAAGGGTGGTAGTATTCTGGCTAGTTTAACTTACTGCTTAATGTTTCGAGTCCTTTACTAGTATCCCTATCTCGCAGTCTCCTTCAAAGCATGGGAGTCTGTTATTCCCATTTTACAGCAGAGGAAACAGATGCAAAGACCTGCCCAAAAGCAGGCAGCAATTGCAATCTGGATTAGAGTGAAAATGTCCCTGAAAACTAGTTCCAGTCTCCAGGGACACATCAATGGGTAGGGCAAGCTGGGAAACTCAAGGGGACGTAGCGTGGGACTGAAAATAAGAGGCGTGTAAGATTTTGAATGCCTAAGGTGATCTGGCCAAGCAAGAAACAAGGCTCAGCAGTTCATGTCAGCACAGGGGAGGGTGGAAACGTGGGGAGCGCGTTCCTTAGCTCAGTGGAGGACGAAAGCAGCATGCTGGCAGGCTGTGCAAGAAATGCATTGTGAACTGTCTCTTGCAGCTGTGAGCAAGACAATAAGGATGGTAAAGCACCATCTAAGTCCCTGCATCCAGCTTTGCACAAAGAGGGAGCTAAACTCACCCCCGCTGGAATCTGTTTCCTCGTGGTTTGCATTTAGCTCTTTTTGTTTGAATGACTCCAAGCAGAAAGGGACCATAGGTTGTCCCAATCCAAGAGCCAAATTCACCATCTCTCTGTTCATTCTTAGCCCCTGAGCTAGACAGTGCTTCCACTAGGGTCTCTGCTCAAAATTTGCAGGTCATTCTCAAGAAAGCCCCCATTTTCTTCTACAGTCTGAGGAATGACATTTTCTTCCTTGCTTTGCTTTTTCCTATGCCAATCCCTCTCCTCTAGGCTCTGCATGACCCACTGAACCTCCACCAGCTTCTTGCCTGTGTACAAAAACTTTTTCCAACGAATATGCATCTTGTCATACACCAAAGTTATGATGTTCTTCAGTCAGCCTGAGGGTTGTGTATGAGGGTCACACAAGTCTTTATTCTTCTAGCTAGTAGACATCAAGCTTGGCATTTCAAGGAGTGGAAAGAGGACATATAGCTTGTCATAGAGCTTTTGTACCTGTCCATCAACCAGCCTGTCTCCTTTTGCTGTATTAATCAACTTGGTCTCTTTGGCAAATCAGCAAGGTTGCTTTCACGTAAGTCTACTATACTTATTTACTGAACAAGCACTATCACCTTACACAGGGTTAGTAGAGTCCCACTCCTTAGTTTAGCATAACTCCATATCTTTACCTGTGAAGTATTTGCTCCCAATCAATGAGAAGTCTGCATCAGTTGTGTCATGAACTCAGCATTTATTAATACTGCTTGTAGTAGATCCCATCCCTTAAGCAATTAGAGCACTTCCCACAGCTTGCAGTTAATGCTTGTGCTGGAGGACATTATAATTTCTGGTCATCTCTCCCATTTGTGGTCACAGACCTCAGCTGCCATCTTCTTACACTTTGGTTCTCTCCTGCCTGTTCTCGATGATTTTGTGGGTGGTGATCCTCTTGCTGTTGATCACTTCAGTAGTGGTAAACTCTAATCTGACACTGTGCAGCCCAGCTGTGTCCTCATCAAAGGAGGAGTTGGGCTGCTCGCTGGGGCTGAATAAATTCCATGGCATAAATGGCTCCACAAAGTCAGAAAACAGGTTGGGTCTTCTTCCTCTTTCACTTGTCCTGTGCCAGTTTTCACCGTTATTTCTGACGTTGTCAAAGGGGTCCCAGAAAACATGTGCAAAGGAATCCATCCCTCTAAAGTCTTCCCTAAAGGTCTCCTTGAGGTCATGTAATACATAAGGAGAACCAAAGGAGCTGTTATGACCCCCCATGGCAGTTCTTCTGCTGTGGGATCTGCTCTCCTCAATAGAGCTGTCATAGAATGATTGTTTCTCAGGGTCAGACAAAACACTGTATGCCTCAGCAACTGCTTTGAATTTCTTTTCGGCTTCCACCTTGTTGCTGGGGTTCTTATCAGGATGCCATTTTAGTGCCAGTTTGTGGTAGGATGTCTTAATCTCTTCCTGTGAGGCACTTTTTTGCAGTCCAAGGACTTTGTAATAGTCCACCATCTCAAAGGAAAGCTATGGCTGTTTGGAAGATGCCTGGTAACTCTCTCCCACCAAGGATGTGAAGCCCAGGGATGACCAGCACACAGAGACTCCTGAACACCTAGTGCCCCTGCACTCCTCAGGGGTGGGTAGATGCTCAGTTTGTCCCTTGATCTGCTCTATCCTTTTGCAGCACAAGACCACACAGTGCTGCTTGACCATATCCTTTCTTTTTAAGCCTGTTGTTCACAAACGTGAGATTGTGATCTCAGAGGGGGCTCAGCCAATCATTGCTCAGTTCATTCTAGGGTGAGGTTGGTGGTCACTGGCCTTACGTTTTGAAGTGTATGTCATACACGTGACATTGTAGTTGCCTGGTGTAGCTATGATGTCACAGCTGTGACGTATCTGACAGCTTTGTTGGATTTTTTTCCTGCCTCTATCTGCCCTGTCCTGGCTTGGGCTAAATCAGAACTAA